TCAGCTTGGTGGAGGTCTGTGTTCTTGGATTGCTTTTCTAGTTTTCCTTAGTTGTTAATTTGGTCCGACAGTAAAATAGGTCCAGTAATCTTTGCTCCGTATAAACCCGTTTCTGGGGTCTGGTTTTGCTTTCGGTCTTTAGGTTTAGATTATCTCCTCCACCCGCAGCCTAAAGACAGACGGTTGTTCAGGAATACTTGGTAACGACCATCCTAAGGAATAACTACAGAGGTAAAACCAAAGGTACCTTCTAAACATCAACAGTAGCTACGACGTGCAGGGAAAACGGTCTCTATGTTACTCTACTAAAAGACAACATCAACACATTCCACACAGAGGATGGAAGTAAAACATGGCGGTTAGAAATGTTCTTATTGTTCCGTATTAGAACTCCAGAAAGTTGGTCACGATGGCGGCGTTGTAGATCAGATCGGAGATGTATCCCATGGAGGTCTGAGGTCCCATTTGGGAATGATGGTGGTGGTGGTGGTGGTGGCCTTGCCCTTGGGCTACCTCCCAGCACACTGGTTGATGATGGGAAGTTTGGTCCGCTGAAGCGTGAGCTCCACCGCCGACGCTGGCTCCGTACACCGGCTGATGGTTCCCAGGCGGAGCCAGGCTCTGAGGCCTGAAGTTGGTGAAGGCCTGGTATGAGCGGGTGGAGGGATGGTGGTGACCCTGCCTGCTGATTGGCTGAGGAAAAGATCCGGAAATGATGCGGCTGAATCTCGGCCCCAGCTGCTGCTCCTCCTCCCAGCGGTGCCCATCTGACCCTTTGGAGCAGCTTTGGAGGAGCTTTGGTGCAGGCTGCTGATGAAGCGATGAAGAAGATGGAGGGGTGTACGATACCTGGTTGCTATAAATTTGGATCAAATCAGAGTAAATTTGAGGCATTTCTTCACAGGACTGGTTCTGGTCCTGCCTGAATATCTCTGCCAGGGTGGTTGTAGCTGGGTAGGTGGAGCTCCCGAGTCCAGCAGAAGGCTCCAGGAGACATGGACCTCTTCCATCAGACTTGGTGGGCCTGCTCAGTCTGCCTGTTTTAATGCTCCTCGCTCTTCTGTTCTGGAACCAAACCTGGTGGGGGGGGGAGAAACGAGGCAGATCACTGCTGAGTATCGTCATCGTCTCAGAGCTCAGCTCATCTTCTAACTATCAAGTCAGAATTTGCATCATAAATACCATATTTTCCAGACTATAGAGGCACCTCACTGTTTGCTGCTTCCAATAAATTTTCAGAAAAAAACTTGAAACGTGCGTATTATAAGCCTCACCTGGCT